TTCAAAGATGGCGCTGGGGGGCGGGCTGTGGGCATGACTTCCGGGATCAGAGGTTACCTGGGAGGTGTAGTCCGGCAGATTTGAGAAAAAGTCCTCGTTCCCGCATACTCGAGCTGTGTTTGTAGAGGCTTCTGGTCACCAGGGTTCCATCTGGGGGAGGCGGGATGCGGCGCCTACTCCATCTGGAACTTCCCGGTGCTCTCGGCTCTTTTTGGAACCTGTTTTTTCTTTTTTCTTTTCCTCCGGGATCCCGCACCCTCCATGTCTTCCTTCTCTTATTCTGAACGTTTCAAAGATGGCGCTGGGGGGCGGGCTGTGGGCATGACTTCCGGGATCAGAGGTTACCTGGGAGGTGTAGTCCGGCAGATTTGAGAAAAAGTCCTCGTTCCCGCATACTCGAGCTGTGTTTGTAGAGGCTTCTGGTCACCAGGGTTCCATCTGGGGGAGGCGGGATGCGGCGCCTACTCCATCTGGAACTTCCCGGTGCTCTCGGCTCTTTTTGGAACCTGTTTTTTCTTTTTTCTTTTCCTCCGGGATCCCGCACCCTCCATGTCTTCCTTCTCTTATTCTGAACGTTTCAAAGATGGCGCTGGGGGGCGGGCTGTGGGCATGACTTCCGGGATCAGAGGTTACCTGGGAGGTGTAGTCCGGCAGATTTGAGAAAAAGTCCTCGTTCCCGCATACTCGAGCTGTGTTTGTAGAGGCTTCTGGTCACCAGGGTTCCATCTGGGGGAGGCGGGATGCGGCGCCTACTCCATCTGGAACTTCCCGGTGCTCTCGGCTCTTTTTGGAACCTGTTTTTTCTTTTTTCTTTTCCTCCGGGATCCCGCACCCTCCATGTCTTCCTTCTCTTATTCTGAACGTTTCAAAGATGGCGCTGGGGGGCGGGCTGTGGGCATGACTTCCGGGATCAGAGGTTACCTGGGAGGTGTAGTCCGGCAGATTTGAGAAAAAGTCCTCGTTCCCGCATACTCGAGCTGTGTTTGTAGAGGCTTCTGGTCACCAGGGTTCCATCTGGGGGAGGCGGGATGCGGCGCCTACTCCATCTGGAACTTCCCGGTGCTCTCGGCTCTTTTTGGAACCTGTTTTTTCTTTTTTCTTTTCCTCCGGGATCCCGCACCCTCCATGTCTTCCTTCTCTTATTCTGAACGTTTCAAAGATGGCGCTGGGGGGCGGGCTGTGGGCATGACTTCCGGGATCAGAGGTTACCTGGGAGGTGTAGTCCGGCAGATTTGAGAAAAAGTCCTCGTTCCCGCATACTCGAGCTGTGTTTGTAGAGGCTTCTGGTCACCAGGGTTCCATCTGGGGGAGGCGGGATGCGGCGCCTACTCCATCTGGAACTTCCCGGTGCTCTCGGCTCTTTTTGGAACCTGTTTTTTCTTTTTTCTTTTCCTCCGGGATCCCGCACCCTCCATGTCTTCCTTCTCTTGCAAAAGAAGATTTTGAGGCTGGAGAGATCAACAAGCAGTAAGGCACTTACCTTGCACACAGCTGACCTGGGCTTGATCCCCAGCATCACATATGGCCCCCCAATGCCCTGCCAGGAGTGGTCCCTGAGCACAAAGGCAGCAGTGAGTCTGATGTCTCCCTCGGAAACAACCTTCTCCCCACCCCAAACCACAAAGCTAGATTTTTACTTTTTTTCCCCCTCTCTGCTTGAACAACAAAATGTTCTTATATTCTTTGATTTTCTCTTCATAAGAAATTATAAAATAAGGTTTTTCTGGTGGTTAAGGGAAAACACCTGGGAAAGCAAGATTGTGTATCTTAATTTCCTGAACTTCCTGTTTATTTTTAATGAATATGTAATTACTTAAGGAAGCCTGATCTTGTCAATATTGAAAGAGCTATTTTTTTCTAAAATTAAGTAAGTTTCTATATTGGCTTTTGAAAATTTTAGTTACTTTTTAAATGGAGGAATTTTTGCCATCTTATTTAGCCAGTTGTTTCTTTTAAACAACTTTTCCAAATAAAATGATGAGTTCAGTCTTTTCCACTTCAAATTAACTTTAAAATTTCCTAGCAAGCTGAAAATTCTCAAAGATTACTATAATATGTGTGTGTGTTTGTGTGTATTTATTGAATCACTATGGATACACAGTTACAAAGTTGTTTATGATTGGGTTTCAGTCATACAATGTTTTAACACCTGTCCCTTCACCAATGTACATTTACCACCACCAGTGTCCCCAGTTTTAAAATATTTTGAACTAGTTAGACCTATTTAATATGCTAAATTACATGGGAAGCATAGATGTAATGCAATGATAAATTAAAGCATAAATGTAATGATATACTTTCCTAAGTTTTATATGTATGTATGTATAGGTTTTATTTTCTAATACAGGTATTTCAGAAATGATGTTCATGGGAATTTGTCAATATTCTTATCTTCCAGTTATTATCTTTGAGTTTACAAAAATAGCCAAATTTCCTTCTCAGATGTATTATACTGACCTCGCATTAGATCTATAATCATGACTATTTAAAGTTTTGTCAATCACCGATATTTTGCTTTTTTTTTCTGAAAATGCTTAAAATCAACTATAGGGGAAAATGTTTCATGATGAAAAGTTGCACATTGAGCCACTCGACTCAGGATTTCCAAAGTAATTAAAAAGTTGACTCAGAAAGCTGCTAAACCAAAATCAAACAAGATAAGGATTAACTGAGTGAGCTGATTAGAATGTTTATAATTTTTGCAACTTTTTATTTGAGACATTGCTGGTCCCTTAATGTCTGATTTTCTAGATTAAAGGAAACCTTTTTTTCCCCCTTCTTAAACTGCATATAACTTAGAGCAATTTGGTAAATTACACCTTTGTAAATAAACAGATTGACTCTATTTATAAATCTATTTATCTTACATGACCCTTTCAGAATTGGGAAACTCTTAGTTTTGTTATTTTTATGGTAAAATAGTTATTTATGTAATTTTAAAAATAATTTGCTTTTTCAATAAATAATACAATGGAAAACTTTGGCAACTTTGCAATGTAATGTTTGAAAGTGATGTGCATCAAATTAGATGTAACCATATAGATTTATGATCCTATGTGTTCTTAACGTTTTTAGGAGCCATTATTTATAAAATCCATTTTGAAAAAAAACAGACCGTGCCTGACTTACAGAATTTTTTGCATTACAGGTGGATAGGAAAGGTTATTTTTGGCATGCCCAAGGAAGTGAAGGATGCTTTGGTGAACTTGTGCAGGGAGGAATGCACCCAGACCTTTAAATATTATAGGAAAATATTTGATGGTGAATTCTTGGGTGTGGTTTCCTAGTCTTGAGAGATTTTCCCCCGTGCAATCTGAGATCCCTGATGCAACATCCCAGAACTGTGCTACACTTGCCTGTTTTGTCTTGTACATTTTGCCAGTTCTTTAATACCTGCTGCAAATCTCTAAGTTACTATGTTCCCCTTTTTGATTTGACACTATTGAGATTTAAACATGCCCTTCCTCTGCAAATCTATACACTAGGTCAATGACCTCACTGACCTAATATTAAAAAAAAATGGATTTAGAAGATAGCATACAGGCAGCTCTTGTGCCTCATTTTGCATGGACCAAAAGAAAGTTAGCCAGTACATACTAGAGATATTTAAGTCAGATGGCCAATGCTGTCCTCATTCTGTCATCTAAAGAAGCTTCAAACTCAAGTCTAAGAATCTTGACTGCTTCCTGTTGAACCCATTAGAAACTGGATTTCTGGTTATCTTTGTTTTTCCTTTATTTTCATAATAAGCCCTCCTCCTACCCCTTTTGGTGTCTCCTACAAACACTGTTAGGATATCCTTTGCTATGGTGTTTCAGTAGATGATTTAGTTGATTTTTAAGAAACAAAGGCAACTGTTCCTTAAATGAGAAAGTGGACTTTAATTATTTAGAGGCAAGAAGAAATATCTCTTTTTTTCCTCTTGATCAAGAGGGTGGACTACAAAGATTATCTGTTCGACCAAGCTTTAGTTAGGTTCTGGAGATTTGTTCAGGCAGCTCATCCTTCACCCATCCCTCCGGTTTGTCTTCAGCAAAAATCCTGCTCCATCAGTTGCCTCTGATTTTCCTTCTATTGTCCCTCATTCTGTTAGTCTTGTCCTTTCTTCATTTGAGGTTGATCCTGATTTTTTTCGTCTGGTACGAAATTCCACTGAGAGGACTCTATATTTCTTGTTAATTTTTTCTTCCACCAGTTAACCTTGTCTTTTATACTTGTGGTTATGCTTCTGAGTTCCCTTCCTTTCCTAGGAAAGGAAGCTGCAGAAACCACTAAAAATTATTTCCAACAACTGATGATTTTGCCTCTTAGGAAGTTAAGCTGCTTCTTGTTTTTGTTGGACTTCAGGATAGAACCATCTGTTTCAAGTGTAAAGATACTTGTTTTTTTTTTTTTTTTTAGATTTTTGAGTAATTTTATTTCTATTTTTTTTACACTTTCAAAAATATTTTTACATGGTGCTGTTTCATGTCTTTGCTCATTTTTGTATTTTTAGTTTCATTTTTTTCCTAAGGAAATCTTTTGAATTTTTTTTAAAGACACTTGTTTTTATTGTAAAAACAAAATAATAACCAGGTTTATACTTTTTCTAATAGTTGTATTAGAAAGTTTAAAGAAGTTTTTATGATTTTTAAGTTATGTTTTACATTTAATGATCATGAGAAAATTGCGCGACTTCACCTTCTGCATGAGGAAGTACTGCACATGACTTCAGGTCTAGGTTTGGTTTTGAAAATTTTCATTTTGGTGGCTCTGTATTTAAATATTAAGTTTTCACACGAAAGCCTCTTGGGCCACATGTGGTGGGGCTATTCCTGACTGCCCACGGTCACTCCTGTTGTGCTCAGGGCCTGGAGCCCAGTCCACATATTGGCTGGTCTCTTTCAAGGCAGCCAGCCTCCGTCTCAGGTATTCAGCCTCCGGAGAAAACTTGTATCCTGCTATTTTTTCTAGTATTAATGCCTTATGTATTCATAGTGGTATGTTTTATTCTTTTCCAGTGACCTTTTGCCCAAAGATTTTGTAGTTTACACCTACAACAAGGAAGGGGCACTTATCTCTGACTATCCTGATGTACAGGTAATTTATTTTCCTTTTAATCCTTTAACAGAATTAAAAATAATTGTAATTTAAAAATAAATTCTACTCAGATACTCAGACCTGTTACAATACAGACCCCCAAAGCCACCTTTATTATAAGAGATGTTAAAAGAGTTGTCCTGGTAAAACATGCAGTTGGGTATATTTAATTAAATATATGTAAATTAAATTATTTTATAAATTTCTATGTACTCTTTCAAGGCTCTGTATTTCATACGAGGAAAAGAATCTATTTAGTGATAATCCTTACTAATTACTATCCTCTCTTTGTTCATCGATTTGCTCGAGCAGGCCTAGTAACATCTCCATTATGAGACTTCTTGTTACTGTGTTTGGCATATTGAATACTCTCGGTAGCTTGCCAGGCTGTCCGAGAGGGGCGGAGGAATCAAACCTGGCTCGGCCAGGCTGGCTGCGCGCAAGGCAAACACCCTACCGCTGTGCTGTCACTCCAACCCTAACCATTGGTGGCGTTGGTGGTATAGTGGTGAGCATAGTTGCCTTACTAATTACACAAAGGGAAAATTTCAGATATTTTTAAATGATGTTTTATGGATTTTTTAAAACTGAAGATTATATCTCCAAAAACACATCTTTCTTATTAAAGATGTGTTTTCTGTTAGTACTTAGTAAAGTAAAACACTTCTTTGCTGTCATATGTTCTAAGTTTTTGTTGAAAACAATTTTAAAGAGCTATGTTTCTCTTACATCGTAGAATGAGTGCTCCCAAGGAAAGAATTAGCTCGAAATACTCGAAATTAATGTGTGTCACTACCTGTCTGTCAGTGGACTGTGCTGGTCCAGAGGTGTAAAAAAATTGAAAAACTACTGATCTCAATATAATTGGCAAATGCCAAACTTGGCTTTGTGTGTTTCTTAATTTGAACAAAGATATTTCTAGTTTTATTTTGGAAGAATGCTTTGCAGTCATTTTGGGAAATTTCGTATTATATACTTTCATTTGTGATAATTTCCATGGTAAGTCTTTGTTCCAAATAATCATGTATTATTTTCTCCCTGAATTTTATACTACTTATGAGCTTTAGTATCACTAAAATTTGACATTTATTTGTTTATTTTTTTGGGGGGGGACACACCTGTCTCTGCTCCGGACTTACTTCTGGCTTTGTATTAAGGTATCACTCCTGGGGGTGCTCAGGGGAGCTTATGAGGTGCCAAGGACTGGGCTGGTTGCAGGCAAGCTAGCATCCTTTCTGCTGTCCTATCTTGCCAACCTTTTAAATTTTAATTATTATTATTATTATTATTATTATAGTTTTGGGGCCACCCTTTGCAATGCTTAGGAATTACTCATGTCTCTGCACTCAGGAATCACTCCTCAAGGTGCTCCAAGGACTATATAGGTGCTGGAGATTGAACCCAGATTGGCTGCATGCAACGCAAGCATCCTATCTGCTGTACTGTCCTTCTGGCCCCATTAAATTTAATTTTGATTGAAGTCACATAGTTATATGATCATAAATGTCTGTTTGTGTTTGATGGGCACAAGTTTATACCACCAAAATATATTCCAATATCTTACATGGTCCCTTGAACTTCCTTCATTTAGACTCTTTAAGAATTTGTTCTCATTAAACATTGTCATTTTCCTATTTTTGTCTTCTTATATACCACATGAGTGTGGTTGTTGTTTGTTCCTCTTTCAGACTTATTTCGCTTAGCATGTTGCTCTAGTTCCATCCATGTGGTTTCAGAGGGCAGGATTTTATTTTCTTTATAGCTAGGTAGTTTATTTCATAGTGTAGTAGTGTATTTTATAACACCTCAGCTTCTTTATCTACTCAGTCTGTCATTGAACACCTGGGTTATTTCTAAACCTGTGCTATTATTGTATTGTAGCGAACATAAGTGTGCATATATTTTTTCAAGTTAGTATTTTTTCCCTCTTTTGGGTCAAACTCAGAAATAATCAGAATTTTGGAGCTGGAGCGATAGCACAGCGGGTAGGGCGTTTGCCTTACAAGCGGCCAACATGGCCGACCCGAGTTCGATTCCTCCGCCCCTCTCGGAGAGCCCGGCAAGCTACCGAGAGTATTCGATATGCCGGACACAGTAACAACAAAGTCTCCACTGGAGACATTACTGGGCCCGCTCGAGCAAATCGACGATCAACGGGAGGGCCTTTACCTTTACCTTTACCTTTACCCTAGATGGTTCTCAGGGGAACCATGTGGACCACTGGGGATCGAACCCGAGTAGGTTGGCTACTGCAAGGCGTGTGCCCAACTATTCTATTCTCTTCTATTCTACTATTCTATCTATGCACTATTTCTCTGACCTGTTTTTATAATTTTTGAATAGTTGGCTCGGATTCATATTTTCTCTCCCACTGGTGCCCAAGTTTTAGTGAGCCTGACTGTTGCTCCCTCCTTCCTTCCCTCCTTCCCTTCCTGTCTTCCTCCTTCTATATTTTATTTCGTCAGAACTAGTTTAGTAGAAATAAATTTCTTTAACTGCCTATAAAAATATTTTGCTTTAAAATGTTTTTATCTCTAAATTATTTTTTTTTATGAAGGCACCATGTTTATAAAGTTATTCATTGTTGAGTTTTAGGCATACAGTGTTCCACCGCCAGTGTCAGCTTCCCTCCATTAGTGTCCACTTGCATCCATGACAGAGCATTTTTAGGTTTGGTTGTCATGTCTGGATCTCTTGCTTTCAGTGCTGTTGGGTCTCTGCATATAGATATACCACGCCTCTCCATCACCCGTGTGTTCAAGGTCCCCGGTCGTTGCCCCTCCTATTTCCCATCTGCTTCTTCTTATTCCCAGCTCTTGATTTCTTTCCTTCTCTGTCCTTCTCATTTTTGTATCTAGGGTCAAGGGAATTCTAAGTATTTCCCCCTTCGATAACTAGCATTCCTTGTCCTGTTACTCTCTTTATCACAGATAAGTGAGATTATCTGGCATTTGTCCTTCTGAAGTGCTTTGCTCAGCATGATATCCTCCAGTTTCATCCAGTTTGCAGCAAGTTGCATGGTTTTATCCTTCTTGTAGCTGCATAGCATTCAGTGTGTGTACACACACACACACACACACACACACACACACACTGCTATTTTTGGTTCTTTTTATTCCACTCATCTGTCATTGGATGCCTCAATTGATTCCATATTCTAGCTATTGTGCTAAGTACTGCAATGATTAGTGGTATACATATATCATTTTAAATGAATTTTTGAAGTCCTAGGGGTAGATGTAAGAAGTGGAATTGCTGGGTCATATGGAGACTCTAGTTTCATTTTCCTGAAATATCTATCTCCATACTGACTCCTATAGGGAATGAGCCGGACAACATTCCCATGAACAAAGATTATTGCAAGTCTTTTGATATATGCAGTTCTCCCTGGTGTGAGACAATATCACATTGTCATCTTGATTTGGATTTTCCTGATAAGTCATGATGAACATGAAAAGCTTTTTAAAAAATCACTCCTTCAAATTAGAATGATAACGTTGCTGGACCTCAATGAAGCGAATTTTTCTTTCTCTTGATTTTGTTACATAAATATTTTTCGTTAATTTTATTTAAAAATGTATTTCCTTTTTAAAATGACCGTTTAAAAGAATGATTTCTTTCATTGTATCCTTGAATTCACTAATTTGATCTTTGACTTTTATCATTACATTGCTGAGCCAGTTTTTTTCTCAATTATATCTATTTGGAAATAATATTTTTGCTCAATTATTTCTGTTTGGACTTTTCTCAGACTTTCTTTTTCATTGATATCCTAGTTTCTGTGAGCCTCATGGTTGCTTTGCAGTCTTCATTAGAGGTTTTCATAATTTTGGTTTGCTTGGGATTCTCCTAGGCTCTTGTTTTCCATCAGTATGAGTGTTTCTCTTTTCATATTGTCTTGTGCCATGCCAGGGTCTGGTAGGAGGGTCCATGTTAAAACTGGCCTGGATAGTGTCCAGAGGTTGTGCACTATGAGACCTAGCAGTGACTCTGGCTCTTCATTTATTTGGGTTTGTTGACTGCGGGGAGTTTTTGGTTTCAACAGATTGGGAAGTCCTGCGGTTTCTGAGCATGTGGGCTTGGACCACCAAAGATCCGAGCTGATGAGTGACCCAGGTGACTGTATCTTGTCTTATGAACATGCGTAGGGAGGCCTGGAGTTTATGCACCACCATCTTGGAGTGATTCTGCTGCCATTACCCGGAGTGGCTGCTGGCTTTGTGACTCCTGAGGCTCACCTGGAGTGGCCCTTGTCCCCAAACAACACTCATATGCCCGACACCCCAGACAACTAATAATAACAAAAATTATTTAAAAATTGTCAAGTTGGTAGATGAAGTGCCACATTTCAACCATATCAAATAAGAGAACTACTGTCATTGAAATTTTTAATTTTTGAGTGCTGTGATTCCTCTGTGTTGCTCTCATAAGTGTTACCTCATATCTGTGATAGTAGAAGGTACTTTTTTTTTGTTTGCTTGTTTTTTATTTTTGGAGGACCACACTGGCAGAGTTCAGGGCTGACTACTGCCTCTGTGCTCTGGGATCACTCCTGGTAGGACTCAGGAGACTGTATGTGGTTCCAGGGATTGAACCTGGGTCATCTGGGTACTAGGAGAATATCCTACCTGCTGTGTTATTTCTCTGGCCCCAGAAGGAGCAGAAGTTTTGAAAAGTGTATATCAGCTTTATTTGTTATCTTTGAGAACATTTTTCCTGTTATATTGAAACTTTTATTTAGTAATTTTTAGCCTTTTTTGTATTAGATATGAATAGAGATACCACAGGGGTTAAGGTGTTTGTCTTTCATGTGGCTGACCCAGTTTGATCTAATCTTTAGGGATTTTAAGTTTGGATAAATAAATACTACTACTACTAGTAGTAATAATAAAATGTTAATACTAAATAGTATAGTGGAAAGAAAAGTAAATGATCACCTGAAAGTAGCTTAAAAAATGTTTTTTTTGCAAGGTGCTGGCTAGAGAGATAGTACATTGGGTAAGGCATTTGCCCTGCACATGGCCGACCCAGGTTCAACCCATATCATCCCCGAGCCCACAAGGAGTGATCCCTGAGTGCAGAGCTAGGAGGAAGTTATGACCACCACAGGTGTAGCTCCCAAACTAAAATAAATAAATTAATTTAAAGAAATGTTTGCCATATGTAGACTTTCTTTCCCCTTGTCATTATTAGCCTTTTTTTTTTTTTTTTGGTATTAAGTGCTTGAGTTTCTGTTTTTGGAAGGGGGCACTGAGCCACACTTAGATGTGCTCGGGGTTATTCTTGGTAAGCTCAGGGGCCTTTCTGTAGTGCGGGTATTAAGGGTATTTTACCAGGGTCTGCTGTTCAAGGCAAGTGTTTTCATCCTGTACAGGCTCTCTGGAGCTTTCTATTAGTTGTCAATAGGGAGAGCATTGGGCTAATGTGTTTGCCTTGTATGTGGCTTAGAGAGCCTTGGGCTAAGGTGTTTGCCTTCCTTGTATGTGGCTTGGAGAGCACTGGGGCTAAGGTGTTTGTTTGCCTTGTATGTGGCTTACAGAGCACTGGGGCTAAGGTGTTTGTTTGCCTTGTATGTGGCTTAGAGAGAACTGGGGTTAAGGTGTTTGCCTTGTGTGTGGCTTACCCTTTTTCTCACCCTGGTGCTGATCTGGTTCCTGGAAGCACTGCAGGGCGTGGCTCCAAACCCACACCCCATCCCCACTGTAAAAGAACCAATGTTGATAATCTACTGTTGCTTCTTGGCTTAACTTGAAATGTTAAGTGATTTAAATGTTAAATTTAACAATGCTATTTTGTTCCTATTTCTAGGCTTAATGGTTATTGGGTAGAGCTGTTTGTACTTCATATTCTCTGCCTAATCATTTATGTCAATGGTGATAGTAGATAATCTGATGACAGTCCAAGGAATGACATACTATTAGGAGATACCAGTGATATGAATAGAACTTCTAATTTACTGACAAAAATCTTGCTAACTTTGCCATTTCTGTGGTGCTTTTAACAATGTAATGGTATTTGAAGATAATACAATTTTTATTATTTAGAATCATTGTCATTATCGGGGCTATGTGGAGGGAGCTTATAATTCATCGGTTGCTCTTAACGACTGTTTTGGCCTCAGGTAAGAAATTTTTTTTATCAGTTCATTCTTCCCTCCCATTTCTTGCTTCTCCACCTATCTCTGTCTCTAAATGAAGTCATTTGGGGGGACTTAAAATTAAATTTTACCTTGATGTTCCTGATGACCTTGAAACTGCATTTCAGACATTATTCCTCCTGGCATGTTTATCATGAAAATGCTATCGTTAATGAGTTTTACTCTCCGAGCATATAAATTCATGATTTTGAGACTGCTAAAGCTCTTTCAGATAAAATACAATTTTAATTTTCTATTGCACTTTTTGTTTATAAAATATTCTCAGAGTTTTTCATTAAATATCCTAAAGACTCTGAAAGAGGTTTATCTCTATATGAAGGTGAGTAGAATGAAGTTCAGAGTAATTGTATCACATATAATAGTGTTTTCAAGTGAAATATTAAAATTTCACTGTTTTTGTGTGTGTGGTGCTGGGGATAGAACCCAGGAGCCCCAGAGATACAAGGTAAGTGCTCTACTACTGAGTTTTAATTATCCCTAACCCTCTAAAAATTACATTTTTAAGGTCTTGGCACTATGACACTGTGTGGCGCAATTGATTGGATGGCTGATTGAATTAAATATAAGTTTTAATTCTTTTGGGCCTCACCCTGCTGTGCTCAGGGGCTATTCCTCTTTGTGTGCTTAGGAGTGAGCCCTGGCAGAGCTCGGGGGACAGATAAGTGGCGGCAGGGTTGGAACTTAGGTGTACAAGATGCAACACAAACACCTTACACCCTGCCTAGCTCTCTGGCCCTGACTTTAATTCTCACACGGACTATATAGATTGGCTATGATTTTCTTAGTCAATAATGCTTATAGACTCTGTTTTTCAAGTAATGTTCTATTGTGTTTATTAAGTATTAAAGTTTTCAGAATATGTCCATGTAAAGTAAGACAGACATTAAGTAACTTGGGAAGAATTCCACAGCTAATAAAACGTTTCATTTGGGAATCACATGCTGGCCCTTTGGCCCCACTCTTGAGACTTTTATCTGTTCTTCTTTTATCTTCCTTGACAAGATAATCAGGTCGAGAGGTTCGTGGGGCAGTCTCCTTTAGTAAGTTTTTTTAGTGAAGAAAAGTAGTTTTTATTACATAAAATTTGCTTAGAAAGATGTGAGAGGAGAGAAAGAGGAGGAATATGTGTTCCAGGGTGAACACAGGTAAGCAAGCAAAGAAGCACACAGGTAAGTGACATGCGTGTTCAAGGGAGAACATGGGCGTGAAGAGTGGATGGGCCCAGGTCGCTTTTAGAGAGAAGCCGTCACCTTTACATGTGGATCTACTGCTCTTGAAAGCCTCTGTCTCTATATCATGCTACCTCTTCTTGTACATGTTATGGGCCATCAACTTGAATTCAGTTGCCGAATGAAATTTCTTTTAATTTCTTTAACAAAAATTCTTTCCCTATGTGCTTTTTTCTTGACTTGTATTTTGTGCGTGTAATGCAACATCAGAGGATTGCTACATGTGGAGAATATGACTTATGGGATTGAACCCCTGCAAAACAGCTCGCATTTTGAGCATGTCTTTTACCGAATGGACAGTATCCACAAAGAACCTCTGAAATGTGGGGTTTCTGATCAGGACATAGAAAAAGAAACCACAAAGGATGAAGGGGAGGAACCTCCTAGCACCACTCAGCTACTTCGAGTAAGAAAAAAAAATTTAATTCTTCATGGCTCAGACAATTATTTTTTAAAACACTGTGTTTTTAATGCATGCATTAAATCATTCATTAAATGCATTAAATCAACCACTTATGTGGGAAACATGTATGCCAGACATATGATAAATTTAGGTTGATGAGCAATATGCAGATTCTTTCACCAAGTGTTTAGAGCCAAGCTTTTGTGTATTATTGAAATTAGGCATAAATCTTATACAGTAATTGTGTGTTTCCGCATTCCTACATCAAGTCCATTATATTGTCTTTTAGAGAGCAGCAGGATATTTATTTGTTTATTTTGCATCTGGGCCACACCCGGCTGTATTCAGGGCTTTCTCCTGGCTCTCTACTCAGGAATGAATCCTGGGAGTCCGGGTGAGTTTTGTGGGCCATATGAGGTGCCAGGAATTGAACTGTGGTCAGCCATGTGCAAGGAAGCCACTTTCCCACGCTATTATCTCTTTGGCCCTGAGAGCAATACCATTTTTATTTGAATTCCTCTTATGCAAACTTGGAATGGTGACTCTCAGGCTCCAAGATAAGAGTCGCGAGAAGGGAGATTTGACTTTAGGGTACTTCTGTCTGTGTACTGAGCGTTCATTATGACCTAGTTTGCTCTTGACCCACGTCTCTTAGACTCAGATATTTTTAGGACTAGGTCAGTTTCACCTGCAGGTCACAGCCTCTTCCCCTGGCTGAGAACTGCTCTTGCTGGAGAGGCATGGGACTTTCCTAGTTTGTTTCAACGAACGGTTCTAGTTTGACATTGTTTTCTTTTCCCTTTTGCCATTCAATCTTTGGATTATTGAATTGCTCTTTAAAAAGTTTTTATTTTCTCTTGGTGTTTGGGGCCCACCTAATGGGGCTCCAGGGTTACTGCTTACTCAGTCGGAGGGAAAATTGCTCCTGGTGGTGCTCTCTCTGCATGCTTGGGATCGAATCTCTCTGAGCCTCCTGCATGAGGAGCTTGTGCTCCAGCTAGCTGAGCATCTCTCTCTCTGTCACTGACTTTATTTCCCTACCCCGCTCTTTTTTTTTTTTTTTTTTTTTTTTGCTACATGCAATGGTGCTCAGGTCTTACTTCTGGCTCTGTGCTCAGGGATCACTGCGGGTGGTGTTCATGGTGCCATATATAAGCGGGGGTCAATCATGCACAAGACAAGCTCCTTCCTTAACACTGTACTATCTTTCTGGCTCAGGATTTATCTTTTTTATATTTAAACCATTGAACAGTATAATTTTTAATTTTTATATTCTTTTATAATGTATAACTATAAATCAGTCCTTTATAAAATTTTCTGACATTGGTTTCTAAAATCATAAAGGTTTCAGATACACAGAATTATATTTTGACATCTCTGTATATTTTACTACACTTATTACCAAAAATCCTAGATTTCATTCAGCACTTAGAGAGTCTATTCCTTTGCCCTATCCCATACACCCCCAGTGCCCCTTCCTTTCTGGAACCATCAGTATTTTATTGTATTTCACAGTGAGAAAAGGTCATTTTTTTGAGTTGGAGTAATAGCAAAGCGAATAGGACACTTGCCTTGCATGCTGCCCACCCGAGTTCAATCCCTGGCATCCCATATGGTCTCTGAGACTGCTAGGAGTGATTCCTAGTTGTAGAGTTAGGAGTAACCCTTGAGTATTCGCAGGTGTGACCCCTAAGGCCAACAACAACAAAAATATGGTCTTTTGCTTTCACTTCTGCTCTGGGTTATTTGTGAATAATTATTAGTGGATAGTTGTTTTTCAATTCTCACCATCGTAATGAGGTTTCCTATCTAAGTATATATTTGTGTGTAGTTATGATAATCAGTAATTTCACTTAGGATACTTGTATCGATCATACTTCTTTAAACTAGGCAGTATACTATTTTGTTACTTTTTGTGAAATTAGTAAAGATAGTCAATGTAACCTTTAAAAAAATCACGTTTTGAGCCCAAATAAGAAAACTGTAACCTGAAACTTATATAATGTCTTGAATCAACAATTTTATCAATAAAAATGTATTAGAAAGTCAAAACCAAAAGGCCCAAAGACCATATTATTTACTTCATTGATTTAGAATGTATTAAGTAGAATAAGACATGAAATAAGTAAAAGATTAGGCTAAGATCATTCCATAGGAGAACTGTGTAGGCATACAATGTTTTCTTGATGCGTCTTTGCTGTTGGTGTTTCCGGCAGAGAAAAAGAGCCATCTTGCCACAGACCCGCTACGTGGAGCTGTTCATTGTCGTGGACAAGGAAAGGGTAGGATGGACTTAATGAGCTGAACGTTTTCTGTCACAAATATGCAATATAATATATAGGTTTTTATGTCAATGTAATTTAAAAACTAAAATGACCTTTCCCCTTAAACATTTATAATACCACCACAAGCTGAATATAGCAAATGAAATTAACTTAATTCTTTTCTTGGTGTTTTTTTTACCTCTCTCTGTTTTTTTTTTGAATAATTGGTTTTTACTGATTAATTTTTCTTTGATTTTTTTGGGGGGGTTTGTTTTCTGTTTTTGTATTTCATTTTGGGTAACCCCTAGTGATTCTCAGGGGATATCCTAAGTGTGATCTCCAGAAGTTACTCCTGTTGGTTCACTTCATGGGGACCCTGAGGTTCCAGGATTGGATGAAGGCCCTTGCATGCAATGCTTGGGTTCAGTTTGCTGTGTCACCTCTCAGTCTCATCTCTGAATTTAAGAGAAACTCTATTGCCTTTAGTCAGTCTTGAGCTGTTTCCAGAGCCATTAGCTGTTTGTGATGAAATATTTGATTGGTTTTGCTTTTAGCCTAAAAAATTCCATTTTTTTCTAGATTTTTAAGCTAATTTTTTTTCTCTGTAAGAGACAAAAAACTTCAGGGACTTTTCATGAAGGGATTAGTTCATATTAGCACATATCATTAATTTCATTTATCGGATAACACAGGGTATTTTCGCACTTTATGCCTAAGAAATGTTATGGGAGAACTGGATAACCACATGCAAGAAAAGTAAAAACTGGATCCATATTTCATACCTTACATGAACTCAGATCAAACACCTCAAGATTAGACTGTAGCACTGTAGCACTGTTCTCCCTTGTTCATCGATTTGCTTGATTGGGCACCAGTAATGTCTCACAACAAATTGTGAGAATTGTTGTTACTGTTTTTGGCATATCAAATACGTCATGGGTAGCTTGGGCACAGTGCTCCAAGACCTGAACCTTAAAGGTGTTTTCATTGATACAATTTTATTGGTACAACAACAACAACAACAACAAAAACAGTGGAACTACAGCAAATGAGAAAGTTTCTGTGTGGCTAAAGAAGCAAGAAATAAAACTAAAAGGCACTCTACTGGATGGGTGAAGGTATTTGTACCTAAATCAGATGAAGAATTAATATTCAAGATATACAAAGTACTCACAAAGATCAACAACAAAAAAAATCCTAAAACTTCATCAAAAATGGGGAACAGGAAAGGAACAGACATTTTTTGAAAAAGAAAGGATTAGGCATATGAAAAAGGTGTTCAGTCACTGATTATTAGGGAAATCCAATTAAAAATAGCAATGATATACCAGAGAGAATGGACCAGAAAAAACATGTATTAGATGTTGGAGAGAGAGGGGGGAAGAGAGAGAGAGAGAGAGAGAGAGAGGGAGGAGGGAGAGAGAGCAGGGAAAGAGGGAGGGAGGGAAAGAGAGGAAAGAGAGAAGGAGGAGGAGGGGGGAGGAGGAGGAGAGAGCTTCCATATGACTCAGCAATTCTGCTTCTCAGACTTTACCAATGAGATACAAGAACATATATTCAGAAGGGCATACACATGCTCTTGTTCATTGTAGCACTTAGTAGGATGGCTAGGATTTGGAACCAGTGATAGATGAATGCTCATGAAGGTGTGGTCTGTGTGGTGGCACACAGCTGCAAGAAATGATTAAAACCATGCAGTTTACTGTGAGTTGAACGGAACTGGAGGATGTTATATTAAGAGAAGTAAGTTAAGTTAGAAGAAGAAAGTCTTACACTAGATGATTTCACTTATCTGTGGCACAATAACAAAATATGACAAGGGAATGCAAAGTGTCAGAGATGGGCAAACTTTTGTCTTAGAGTGTAGAAATGAAAATATCAGGAAAGGTGAGAAACAGAGGGAGGGGCTGCTAAGAAAAGGCAGACCGGAGGGAATGGGCAAGACCCAGAAAGGTGGGCTTTGAATGTGGCTCAGTGGTAACGTGTGCTTTCCTAGGAGAGACTTGATCGTTGGCTCTGGGGGAGAGGGGTGGGGGTGGGGAGACAATAAAAAGAATATTAACAGTGACTTGGTCTCCCTGGTATGTGCCACGCCCCTTTTCTCATGGCAGCAGTGAGGCAGCAGTGGTTCTCAGTCCTCACTGAGGCTACACTCAGCTCCCTGTGTGTCTGAAACGTTTCTGTCTGAAGCACAGAGCTTGGCATGGGCCCTGCCGACTGCACTATCTTTATGTACTTATCTCTACAAACCCTGGGAAATTTGTTTCTGTTTTTAGAAAAATAAATCTCTGGAAGGTTTTCTAAGCCATTTTTTATGAGGCAGTGAATAGTTGAAGGAGAAATAAATTTAAAGTCTGTAGAAAAGCTGTGCCATACTTTATTAGCTTATTCTTTGGTCAGTCCTTGATACCTACTCTCTAAATTTTATGAACTTTTTTCACATGGTAATTATTTTTAAAAATTTTTATTTAAAAAATGGGGGGAGTGGGAGTGGAGAGATGGTCCAATGGGTAGGGCACTACGTGTGGTCCCTGGCATACTGTTTTGGGTGTGAACGCTGAGCACTAAGCCAGGAGTAAGCACTGTGGCCCAGAAACCAACAACAACAACAATGTTTTTTTGTAGTTGGAGGTATTATACCTCATGCTCAGAGACTATTCCTGATTTCATACTCAGGAGTGACCTCTGGAGGTGCTCAGGGATCATATTAGTGCTGAGACTCAAATCTGGGTTGGCTGCAGGCAAGCCAAGTGCATTATTCCTGATGTACTCTCTGGCTCTGCAAGGATAATTATTTTATATACAGCATTGTACAATAAAATACTTAGCGTAAGAGTTAAAAAGTGGGGAGGACCTTAAGTGAAAAAACATTTTTAAGTAGTGCTAGTTTGGAGAAAATTTCAGTGCTTTTTGATTTTCACTCATTTCAAGTTTGTATTTGTTTTTCTTTTATTCCTTTATCACTGAAATGTGTTCTTAGATTTATTAATTTGAAATGCAGGAGAATGTGTAAATGACTCAATTTTTTGGTTGAGCTGGAATATTTGGATTTTTATTTTCATTGTAACAAGTTGCAGAATTTTTTTTCTCAAATTACTTTGATGATAATGATTTTCTTTCTTTGCTTTTTAGTATGACATGATGGGAAAAAATCAGACGGCGGTGAGAGAAGAGATGATTCGTTTAGCAAACTACTTGGACAGTGTAAGTTGACTTCTCTCAGGTATAATTACTTTATCCTATCTTTCCTCAGTTTAAGAACAAAATTTAAAAACTCTTATTTTGAGGTGTTAGAGAGACAGGACAAGATTGTGGCATGCAGGGGTCGAGTTTCATCACTGCACCCCATCATCCCTGAGTGCAAGTAGTACTGACCACTGAGTGTTTCTCTTGCCAACATTTTAATTTTAAGCTCTGATCATTCTAAGGGTAAGTGACTCACTGTTTTAGGAATCTGCTTTCTAGTTTGTTCTCTATTTTTTGTGTATGAAAGGGAAGTATAATTGTAGAATAATCATGACTACTTGATCGTTAGGACATAACAACATTAATTGGTGTGCATATATGTGTGAGATTTGATTTGAGATTTTGGAGTTCACACAGTAGGAGATATTGATGAATTAGATATATATTCTAGTAAGACTATTTCATTGATAGAATCATTCCATGATATGAATTCAGGAATAATAAGAATGATGCTGTTGATATGGGTATTTATAATCTGGGGCATATGCTTTACATATGTGGGGCTCTGGGTTTGATCCCAGCACTGCTGACCTTGGAGTAACCATGCCCTCATCCCCTCCTAATATTTCTGAGAATGTTTCTGGCCCCCAGTCACTCCTAAGAGTACACCTGCTCATGAATTGCGCTATGAAGTAAGCTAAAGGCTGTATATTTGTTAAATAGTTTATTCTTACAGTAGCATTGTGAAGTAGATATTGGAGTTCTGTAATCTCTTATTTGATTAGAATTTTAGGAAAACTCTTAGAAAGGTAATGTCATTCAGTGTGTTATATATACCTCAGTAGCGGCTTGTGGAACACCTTGCACTCAACTCACTGTTATTTCTCTAGTAGAATTGGTGAGCATTTGCATAAAATGAAATACAAGTGCTCTTAAGCTAATATGCTCTATATCTTGTATTAAGGCAAATTTTGCCATCAGTTTTATCAAAAACTTTTCATATTCATTATTGTTCAGATTTCAGAATTAAAGATAAGACATATTTTTAACTACTGTTGCTTTTATTTTGTAGAAAAGGAAATTGAGACCTCTGAGTGGTTGTTGAAATAATTTTTGGGGTGTGAAGTTCAGTTTGAGTTTACATAGTTAAGTTACTTCATCATCTGCTTGAAAGATTCTCATATTCTTTAATATCGTGTTTTATTACTTTTATATTTTTTTCTAGATGTATATTATGTTGAATATTCGGATTGTGCTTGTTGGACTGGAGATTTGGACAAATGGAAACCTGATCAACATAATTGGGGGTGCTGGTGATGTATTGGCAAACTTTGTGCAGTGGCGGGAGAAGTTTCTTATAACACGTCGGAGACATGACAGTGCACAGCTAGTTCTGTAAGTGATTTTAAAATGATTCTTTAAGTAAACTAGTCAAAATAATCCCTCCCTCCCTCCCTCCCTCCCTTCTTCCCTTTCCCCCCTCTTCCTTTTCCCCTCTCTCCTCCATTACCTCTCTCTCTCTCTTTCTTCCTTTCTTTTCTTTCTTTCTTTCTTTCTTTCTTTCTTTCTTTCTTTCTTTCTTTCTTTCTTTCTTTTTTTCTCTCATATTTTGCTTTTTGTGTGACACCTAGAGGTGCTTAAGAATCACTTCTGGTGGTGTTCAGGGACCCCAGGTGTGGTTCTGGTTGTCACACCCAGGCTGATTATGTAAAGCAAGCACCTTTCCCACTGTACTATCTTTCCTGCCTAGAATAATGATTTTTTTCTTCTTTATATTTTTTTTAATAATCATTGTTTCTTTTTAAAGCAGTTATGTAACTAAGGCTTGCTTGCATGGTCATCTAGTGTTGCCAATCTTATTCAGGATGACTCAGGTGAACAGCTTGCAGATGACAGACAACAGGCAGATTGGGCGATAGTTGCCAATGTCGTGGATGTCTCCTTTCTTCTTCTTTTTTTTCTTTTGCTTTTTGGGTCACACCCGGCAATGCTCAGGGGTTACTCCTGGCTTTACACTCAGGAATCACTCCTGGTGGTGCTCAGGGGACCATATGGGATGCTGGGAATCGAACCGGAGTCGGCCGCATGCAAGGCAAATGCCCACAGAACCTTGCATTCAGACAGGTAGCGTGTGAAGAGCTGAGCCAGGTATGGATGAGTACTGACGGCAGATTCTTCAGGTGTTGGGGTCTGACTTTGTCTGGGCCAGGTGCTGTTCGCTTCTTTACTGGTGAAATGGCATGTCGGATTTTGGAAGGAAGAACATTGGGAACGACATATTCATCCTGAGGAATTTGATATGTGGGCAGGTGGACGTGGCTGTCGAAGAGATCCGAGTAGAAGTTATGGATAATCTTTTCCATTGCCCTTCTGGAAGATGTGATAGATCCATCAGGACATTAGAGGGCAGTCATCTTGGTCTTGTAGTTGGCGAGGGACAGGCGGGTGTTGCGAATGCTTTTCCCAGCTTCTGCTGCTTCAGCCAGTACTGCTGCTCTTCTCTCTTTGAAGTCTTCCTTGATTGCTTCTCTGCACTGCTTTGCGAGTTCAAACATTTGCTTGTGGTTGCCTGAGGCTCATGTCCAGCCACGTTGGCAAATGAGCTTGAGAGTTTTCGAAGACAGGAGTCTTTTTGTGGCTTTCTCTCCCTGAGCGTTCCTCGCACAATCATGGAGGTACTGAACCAGTCGATTGTATTCTTCGTCAATGTTGTCAAGGATGGCATCTTCCCATGTTGCCACAATAGTGCCAAAGAGCTCCCAGTTGGTGGTCGTTCTGAGAGTTTTCCTCTTAAACTTTGCAGCCCTTTCTCCCCACTTCGTGAAGTAGAATTTTGAATGAAGGAGATGGCGGTCTGATCCTGTTTGGAATTTTCGGACAACGGTGACATCGGTCAGGCAAGACTGTTGATTGAATATGATGTGGTCAGTTTTGTTGTGGAACTGTCCACTGGCAGATTCCCATGTCCAGCGTTTAGATTTGGCCTTCTGGAATTGTGAGTTACCATGGATGGTCTTGGTAGACATGATAAACTCAGACAGTCTCTCACCCTGTTGGTTCTATTCTAGGCCATGGGTCCCAATGTGGAGTTATTTGGCTGATCTTCTCAGTCCTATCTTGGTATTAAAATCACTGACAATGATCTTGTAGAAGGTGTGGACTTCTTTATAGGACTTCTCCAGCTCCATGTAGAACTTCTCAATTTCATCTTCATCGTAATTGGACGTTGCTGCATAGACAACGAAGATAGAAACTGTTGGCAGTGAGCCACATCTATTCAAGTGTAATTGTCCGATTCGGATTGTCAGGCATTTGACTGAATCAATGCTCATGGCCAAGTTCTTGTTGACAAGGACACTGATACCACCCATGCCTCTTTTGTTATATGTTCCAAGGAACAGTTCTTTTCCAGTGTCAAAAATGGCGTGACGTGATTGATGCCTTCTCATCTCGGTCAAACCAATGATGTCCTACTTGATTTTCTGCGCTTGCACCATCAGGTCCTCGATGGATGCTTCCAATGCCAGTGTATGTGCATTGAAAGTACAGACACTCAATGAAGGACAACCATGCGAACAAGCCGGGTTCCAAAAAGAATTCAGCACTATCAACCATTCCGACACAGTAACCAGGCTCATTGAGGTTTCTCAGGAGTTCAAGATGCCGCTCTGTCTAATGCTCATTGATTTAAAGAAGGCCTTTGATTCTTTTGAGACTGAAGTGGTCATCGAAGCCCTAGCCTAACAAGGTGTTCAAACTTAATACATCAGGATCCTCCGTGAGCTGTATTACGAATTCACTACCAGGATTTCACCATTCTGCAAGGAAGTGATCATCAACAAAAAGAAAGGGGTTTGGCAGGGTGATACCATTTCACCGAAACTCTTCAGTGCTACCCTTGAGAACACCATGCGACCACTGAATGGGATGGAATGGGAATGAAGATAGATAGTCGGCAACTATACCACCTCCACTTCTCTGATGACATTGTTCTAATGACACCAAACATTAGCCAAGCGGCACAAATGCTGGCCGACTTCCACCGTGAGTGTTGAAAGTTTGGACTACAGCTGAATCTCACGAAGACGATGTTCATGAGAAATGGACTTGTTCTTGACATTCCATTCGTTCTCAATGGAATGGACATCTCCGAATGCAGCAGTTATGTGTACCTAGGTTGGGAACTCTACATGACAAACTACCTGGCACTTGAGTTGTGCAGGAGGAAGAGAGGGGCATGGAATGCCTTCAAGAGCATCTAAGAAATAGCTTAGAGGGCAAAGAACCTCTGGCTCTTGGCACATCTCTTCGACTCCACCATTCTTTCTGTATTAACATACGCCTCAGAGGCCCGGGCCCTATGAAAACAGGATGAGAACGCTATTCAGATCTCTCAAAGAGGAATCGAAAGAGCTATGCTTGGAGTGTTAAGCTTTACTCAAGTGAGAGAAGGAATCTGGAGTTCCGACCTCCATTGATGATCAAGAATCAGAAACTCTGTCTTGTTTGCTAAGGTGTCGATAATCAGATGGGCTGGACATGTAATGCAATTTGGAGATGACTGCTAGACTAGAACCAATACTAACTAGATTCCACGGGACATCAAAATAATGCATGGCTGCCCACCTATGAGATGGTCAGACTTCTTTGTCAAGACCCTGAAGAATTGGTCTGAGGCTCTTCATATTCCTAGAATGAGCAGACACCATTGGGCTAGATTATCACTCGACAGGGATGAATGGAGACATTACTGATGCCCGCTTGAGCAAATCTATGAGTAACGGGATGTTAAGTGATCAAGTGATCAAGTGATGTAACTAAGGAATATTTAGTTTGATGTCCTAGAGAAGCAACAGTATGATAATGAGACCTCTGTTTTGTGTTTTCACCTTTATTTCATTCCAGCTTGAGTTTATTCCTTCATTTATATGAGTATTTTCTTTTTTCCCTATGAATGGATATTTGAAATAATAATGAATGATTTTATTATTGCTGAGGTATCATGATTTAAATGTTGCTAATATTGATTTTTGTGTACAGTTACTGACGCATCACTATCAGAGTTCTGAAGAAGTCTCCCCCCACATCCCTTTGTGCCTCTTCTCTGCCCCATCTGCCCCTACCCCACACTGGTAACTCAGTTCTGTCAGAGTCCAAATGTTTATTTTCATGGTACATTGTCCATTTTTTTTGTGTCTTTATATACTGCATGGAAGTGAGATTATTGTGCATGCATCTTTCTTTCTCTGACGTACTTTAGTATTAGTGTGTTCTTCGGGTTGATTTATAGACTTAGAGTGGCCTGGATCATGCAGTACTTAGAGTTTGAAATCTTCGGTAAGTTGCCACACTGTTTTCTACTGAGATTGAGCCAGATGACAGTCCCAGCAGTGCACGAAGTTTTCCTTTACAATCTGTCTCTGCCAGCACCGATTGTTTCTGTCCATGATACGGGCCATTCTCACTGTGTGAGGTGACAGTTATGCTGTCATTTTGATTTGCATTTTCTGACACTCAGTATGAACAAGCCTGTTGACCATCTCTCTGTCTTCTTTGAGAGTGCCTGTTTAGCTCTTCTCCTTAGTTTTTGTTCTTGTTTATTTTGTGCCACACTTGGTGGTACTCGGGACTTTCTCCTGGCACTAAGGGATCACTCCTAGTTGGGCTCAAGGGACCATATGGTGCCTTAAATTCATTTGTGAAATAGAAGGATATGTAGTAAGGCAACAGCAAGTGGCCGAAGGCAAAAGAAGCAGAGTGGCAGAGGTGGTAGACTTGGATTTATGGGGCATTGGTGGAGGAAAGTGGCACTCTGGTGGTGGTTATGGTGTAAGAATGATGAATGAATGAAACTGTCATTAACAGTATTATAAATCATAGTGCCTCAGTGAGAGTTGGGCGGAGGGGTTTTCCAGAAATGACTTGTGGAACAGGAAAAATGAGATGTAAGAACTACAGGCCTTGCAGTTGTCACCACTACCTGATATCCTGTGTCATAGTCTTGGTGAACCTCACTATGGACTTTAGTGTAGCTGTCAATAAGGAGCATATGCTAAAGTCTCACAGCTAAAGGAGAGCCGACTGTGTGAGCACTATGTGAGCATGAGTCTGCATGTTCTGCAATTTCATGTGTGACCCACAGAGAAAAATATGTGAGCACCACAGCTAGGTATACGTGTGACCCCTGGTCTTCATAACAACGTAAACAACAAATGAAGGGGAGGGTGAAGGGAAGAGGGAATACATATCACTTCCCCTCACCCCAAAAAATCAATAAAAAGGGGACTGGAGAGAAAATGCAAAGGGATGTGTTACACATTTGGTCTTTGGTTTTGCTTGTCCTCCCAGCACCACTGGGAGTGAACCCTGGGCACTGAGCTTGGGAGTAGCCTTAGTGAGATGTAACTAGCTAGTACTTGTGTGTTCCCAGAGTACAGCTTCACATTTCTGATTTCAAATGTTTACTATTTTCCATTGTTCTCCCCATTTTCATAAAATTTAGCAGTCTAGCATAATATTCACTATATCACTGTATCACTGTCATCCTGTTGTTCATCGATTTCTCGAGTGGGCGCCAGTAAAGTCTTTATTCCTCCCAGCCTGAGATTTTAGCAGCCTCTTCTTACTGTCTTTCCCAGTGATTGGAGGCTCTTTCAGGGTCAGGGGAATGAGACCTGTTATCGTTACTGTTTTTGGCACATCAAATACAATACGCCACGGGTAGCTTGCCAGGCACTGCCCATGTGGGCGGGATACTCTTGGTAGCTTGCCGGGCTCTCTGAGAGGCATATATGAATATATTTTTCTCTATGATTTTGTTGCATACTGTCTGAACCCCATCAGATATGGTGTGGTAATTATGGAAAATGGGTAGGAAGTTTCTTATGATGTGTCATACAGTGGTGAATCCTGGCGTGGAATCCAGTGGCATGGTTTTGGGAGCCTCATTTTATGCTCCCTTCCAGGAGAAGTAGCTAATAAGTTCTGGAGGGTGGCCGATCAGGAGATTATCTGGCACAGGCAGGGAGTGGCTTATGGGTGTGACCTCTGAGTTGCTGGAGACTGGGGAAGCAGGCAGAGGATCTCTGCTCCCAGGTGGTCCTATTGAGCCCAGAGTCTAAGGTCACAAGATTCTGCATTACCTGGGTTTTGTGAGACTTCATTCATGTGTGAGGCTTGGCCCGAGCCTCCGGAAAGTGGCCTGCAGCGTGGTGGCAGTTGGGTAGTGGAATTCGGCTGCTGGGGCTGGGTCCCTTGGGGCAGGGAGGGCTCTCACCCTCCCCACTCTGGGGCTCCCTGAGTGAAAACAGCCTGGCGAGGAGTCCGGTGGCATGGTTTTGGGAGCATAATATTACTGCAAGAAATTGAAGCAGTGTGTTGTGTTCCTTCCCCTGCAAGGACATTTTAAAACTTTTCCCTTTTCTTTTTCTTCAGGAAGAAAGGTTTTGGTGGAACTGCAGGAATGGCGTTTGTGGGAACTGTATGCTCAAGGAGTCATGCCGGTGGGATTAATGTGGTACATTTTGTTGTTCTTTTCTTGTTTTTTTTTTTTCCCCAGGGTTAGAGCTTAGAGCCTCACATATGCAAATTCTATGCTGCTGAGCTTCATCCTGTGTTCTCAGCATTTTTCTGATGCTCAGCTTTGGAAATATGCTATCAGGCAATGTCGGTTTATTTCCTCTATACTTCTTCAAGTCCTTAAAACAAACTTTTGGGTTTAGTTGAAATATGGTGTTACATATGAGCTTTTCCCCTGAAACTGGTTTTCTAATACTTACTGTGTGTTTATAAGGTCCTCACTTTGTACATGGTTGAGAAAACAGACCTACATTAAGACAATTAAATTAATAACATGAATTGGTACATGAATAGAAGATGTATCTACAGACTAGAACAGAAAATACAAACTTTATCTCACTGTCACACAAGAATCTGGTAGATGATCAAAGTCACTCAACTGGTTCAGATACTTTTTTTTTTAATGCTATGGACATTTTAATTAGAAAGTTAGAATCATGAATTTGTTTCCCCATAAAACACCACAACTAATCAATTGGTGCTAAAATAATTGAACTGTTGCTTAAAGGGTCTATTTCTGGCATCAGTAACTTGGCTCATACCAGTTTCTGTTGGAATAAAGTGTATAAAGACTATTATTGGATGCTTGATTTACCAAAGGCCGTCAGTATTATGATGATATGCTTATTTTTGCTTAAAAATAATTGAAGATACAGAATAGCCTCTATTGACAATAAAGTATATCAATAAAACTAATATGTTCTTGTGTTTGGACAGTTTGGACAGATTACAGTGGAGACATTTGCATCCATTGTTGCTCATGAGTTGGGCCATAATCTTGGTATGAATCATGATGATGGCAGAGACTGTTTTTGTGGAGCAAAGAGCTGCATCATGAACTCTGGAGCATCGTGAGTAACTGAATTCCATTTTTAATATGGTATCATAGATTATTATTTCTTAAACTCTGGAATTCTCATCTAATAAGGAAGAATTATTCCTAGCTCTCCAGAAATTAATTGCACGTTATACCTTTGAGAAATCATTTTAAAACATTAAACAATTCCAGAAAGTTTTAAGAAAAGCATTTATATGTGCATAAAGATGTAACTGCACTCTTTTATTAACCAAGATCCCTGGAAAAAATATATAAATTAGATTACCAGTCTTGAGAGACTTAATATGATAATGGTGGTAATATTTTTTTTTCCAGATTATTCATAGGAAGCATATTTTAAACAGTACTTGATTTTTTTTTTTTTGGTCATATCCTGGTAGGCCACTTTCAATCATTGTTCATCACATTTATTTCTTTTCTTTTCTTTCTTCTACTTACTTTGGGTTTCATTTGTTGTTCTTTCCTATCTTCTTAGATGGTTTGTTTGAAAATTTCTTGTTTCTTGTTATAAACATATGTTGCTGTCAATTTCCATCTGTGTACTAAGTACTGTAAGTTGTATCTTAATTTCCATTTGTTTTGAGGAATTTTTAATTTCCTTTATGACCTAATGATTGCTCAATAGTATATTGTCTAGTCGCAAAAAACTTAAGTTTTCCTTAGCTTATTTTTTATTTTAAACTAATACTTTTTTTTTTTTTGATTTTTGGTTCACTCTAGATTCTGTAATACTTAGGGGCCACTTCAAACAGTGCTCAAGGGACCATATATGGTGCTGATTAAATTTTGAACACTTAAGTCTTATGCATTCTAAGAGACTATTGCTTTCTTTTCCGTATTTTATGTTGGTACTTTAAAAAAATATGTCTTACTACCCCGGAGTGTTATTTTCTTTGCCTTTTTTTTTTTTTTATAGAAAACCATTTAATATTACAGAGTTGTTTTAGTTGCAATGAATTTCTAAAACTGTTTGAAAATCTGAGTGAAGCCTAGTATTCATTTTTTATAGGTCCTTTCATCTAACACTTTGGTTATATCACATTATTTCCTTCTGGCCTGTAGCATTTTACTGGATATATCTACTGTTGAGTCTTATGAGATTTCCTTCCTTGTGAGTCTATTTCTCTTACTGCTTTTAGGATTCTATCTTTCTGGTTTTGCAATTTCAATTTTTAAAATTTAAACTGATTTACAAAGTTCGTAACATAGTTGTTTCAGGCATTCAGTGTTTCAACACTGGTCCCGCCATCGGAGTGACCTCGAATTCCACCAATGTTTCCAGTTCCCTCTTCACCTCAAACCTGACCTCTTAGCAGGCTCAAGCAGATTTACTTCATATTACTTGTAAACTAAGTGGGAAATGAGAAAATAGATCAATAAAAGTCCATTTATGATAATTGTTCTTTCTCACTGTGGTGTTAGTAAAGTCAATAAAATAATAAAGGATTATTTTTAGTAGAATAATAAGGGATTTCTTGAGCTGGTTGTTGCTGGTTGAGCCTTCTGTGTTATTGTTTTTATTTAGTGAGCTTAGTGGACTTCTAAATAACTTACCCATCATATTATTTGTGCTCTTACTTGGCTGTCAATACTGTGTAATTTGGAGATGTTGTCTGCAAATGCGGCCGCATGCTTCAGGTGCTATAGAGGTGGATGTTTATACGCTGGAGGAGGTCGGGTGTGGCGGCTGCCAAGTTTTTCCTCCAGGATGGACAATCTACCACCCCTATTCTGAAAAGGCCACAGAGTTTTCAGCCTGGAGATTGATCTATCTGGGATGATTTGGCAACTTGATGAGCTTCAGTTTGGTTTCTACAATTTTAATTAAAATGTTGGTGTTCACCTGATAGTATTTGTTTGTAGTATTTGTACCTTTTATAGATTGGGGGTAACATCTCCCTCCTCATATTAGGGAAATTATCGTCTGTTATTTCTTCAATCAGTAATTCTTTTTTCTCTCATTTCTATCTGGTATCCCAATGATGCAAATATTACTCCTTTTTCTCTCCCATAAATATCTTAGGTCTTCTTTATTTTGGGTTAAAAGTTTTGCTGCTTTTAGAAACTCACTCCTTAGTCATTTTTACTCTACCTTCAGCACTGGAGGATTTTTATTCTGATGGATAAGATTTATAAATTTGTATTTCAGTATAAGTAATACATTTGGAATATACTTTTATGAAGACTAAACTAAACATAACTAAAATAATGATCTTACATAGTTATTAGAATGCTACTGGTTAGGAATAGATACTAAGTCTAATTTCTCTATTTTAGTTAGCTAATTTTCTGTTATTTTAAATTTCTTATTTGTTGAAGACATGCTTAAAACTTTCAAAGTAGATAGTTGTTATGATATAATGTCTTTTTCTTAATGTTTATTCTAGAGGTTCCAGAAACTTTAGCAGTTGCAGTGCAGAGGACTTTGAGAAGTTAACTTTGAATAAAGGAGGAAATTGCCTTCTTAATATTCCAAAGTCTGATGAAGCTTATAGTGCACCCTTCTGTGGTAATAAGTTGGTGGACCCTGGTGAAGAGTGTGACTGTGGTACTCCAAAGGTCAGTAAATTTTACATTTTTTAAAAAAGTTATCTTTATTCTGTTTGATTTTTAATTTTTTTTGCTTTTATTATTGTTTTAGAGCCACACCTAGCAATGCTTATGGGTTGCTTCTGGCTCTGCACTCAAGGAATCACTCCTGGCTGTGCATGGGGGACCATATGGGATGCTGGGGATCACACGGGTTGGCTACAGGAAAGGCAAGTGCCTTACCACTGTACTATCTCTCCAGCCACATAAATTTTTAATTTTTGCTTTGGGAAGTTACCTTGGGAAGTAGAACAAAGGAAATAGGTTGCTTTAGGCAACTCTGGCATTGGAGGTAAAATAAAACAGTGGCAAAATGAAGATTGGCATTTTGCTTGTGTGGAAACAGTCCTGTAACTGAAAATATCCTTCACAGAAAATAACTACTATTGTTATCTGTCTGTGTCAAAGAATTCTCCATGTTTATTCTTCTTTTGTTGTTAACTTACATTTTTGTTGTGATTATTGGGTTATTCATCTACTTTAAAGAGTGAATTACTTTTCATTTGAGGCTCTACTTTTACACTTTTCTGGTGGAAATATTTATTGATTTGGATGCATTTTAGTAAAGAATTGAAGCAGCTCCTTTCTCTGGATTTCTTTAGTAATAGTATTCTTTTATTTAAAAAATTAAAAAGTTTTCTGTTCTTCTTTTGGGGCCACATTCATCAGTGCTCAGAACTTACTCTTGGCTCTGTGCTCAGGGCTAGTCCTAGTGGAGCACAGGAATTATACGGAGTGCTGGGGGCAAAATACACATTGGCATGTGTGCAAGGTACTTGACCTACCCACTGTCTTATCTCTCCAGTCCCCTCTTTTTTTTTTTTTTAAAGACCAGTTATGTCACTTAGCCTCTTCTACATTATAGTCATTATCTTCTTAAAATGATCACGTAACTCCTCTCCTACTTAGACTTCATTTAAATTTGTATTTATGTTTTGTTAAGGTGTGGTCAGCTTTATTGCATTCTCAGTCTTTCTTACTAATTCTTCTTCCTTCTTACTTTGGCTGTTGTCAAATGACTTCTTGTTCTAGAATGTCAGTATGTATTTTGTGGAGAAGTTGTGCCTGGATCTACATTGCACTGATAGGGACTTCTATCAAATAATTTACATAGCATAATTTTCACAAGAACTTTGAGAGATGGACTTTCATGTCCAGCTACCAAACTTATTAAAATAGTCTATATTTTCTCCTTGAGCTTTTGCACCCCAAAATTACTATGAATTTTTTCTTTACATTTTAGTTACCATGGTTTCCAAAAATGTTAATGGTTGGGTTTCCAACATAAAATGTTACAGCACACCCCCTCCACCGGAGTGTCTACTTCTCTCTACCATTGTGCCTGTGTTTACCCTGTACATCCTGTCCCCTATTTTCCCAACCTTCACAAGATCCCACTGCATACCTGAAGACACTTCTCAGTTTCTGTGGCCTTGCCATTTATTATTCCCCTACTTTGTCGTGAGATAGACCACAAATTAGACTTGCCGCCACTGGAACACGAAGCCCTCTTTCAAAGCTGAGCTGTATAGTCAAGTGGGATGGGACCTGGGTGTAGTGTGTAGACGTAGTTAGCTGCCTGGGCGTACTGAGAAATGTGTTTCGATGATTTTGTCAATGCTGCAGTTCGTGGGGACACCAAAGCTTCTTTCCAAGCTGAACCACAGAGTTGAGCAGGTAGGGTGATGGTGGCGGGTGATAGTCTAAACTATGTAAATCAAACCATACTTCATCGCAGGATTGATTCTGCTCAGTAATGGGGTATGATATTTATGTTGCATTGTTGGATTCATTTTTGCTAATATTTTGTTGAGGATCTTTTCATCTATGTTCATCAGGGATATAGGTCTATAGTTTTCCCTTTTGTAATGTCTGTGTCTATTTTTTGTCGTAATCTACCAGTGAAGGTAATTTCTCCTGCTTCTTCATTGTATGTGCTGCTATATAATGGTGAGAAGCTAGTTTTGTGCATGCCTGGGTAGCAGAATATGGTTTTTGCTGCTGGAGTTTGTTGCCTCAAGCTTGCTGGATGGGCCCCGATAGAAGTGTACTCTAGAGCGTCCCAGCATTCATGTCGGTTGGTGCTTGTCTGTGCTGCAGTGTTCTCTCACATGTAAGAGTGCTCAGGCACCCTGTACTTTCCAACAGGCCTGGGGTCTTCAGTGTGCCATGTTGCACTGTACCTGGCTTACTGCCAACCTGGGAGGTATTCACTGCTCCTGTGTCTGATTGGGCTGGTCTCTGATCAAACGTTCTATCAGAGGTAGAACTTGAACATAGCAGTCAGATGCAGAGGGGAGGAAGTGGCCTTTTTGCCTATAAAGTTGCAGCTGTCATTTAGCTCAGCTTCTCTGCCCTGGGATAGGAATGGTGGGTCCCCACTTCTGACTGATGACACCTGAATCCTATGGTTTACAAAACTTTTATTGGTACCATTTTATACATAAAATTTCAACACCACATCCCCCACCAGAGTGTCCACCTCTTTTTACCATTATCCAAATGTTCACCCCCCCCATCCTCTCATTGTTCCCTATGGTGAACTTCCTGCTAAAAATCAGTTCTGTTTATTTCCTCTGTGCAATGTTACTCCCCTACCATGTCTCTATAACTCACATATGGAAGAGATCATTCAGTATTTGTCCCGCTCCCTCTGACTAACTTTACTCAGCATGATACTTTCCAAATCCATTCAGGTACCTGCAAATTGCATGGTTTCATCTTTCCTTACAGTTAAGTTGTATTCCACTTTGTATATGCACCACATTTATTTATCTAGTCATCTTCTTTTATATTCTTGGGAAGTGGTGGCCACGTGATTTTGAAATTCTGAAATTTTAACACTTAAATCTGGAGGGATTTCTGCCAAAACCTGCTGGATTCTGAGATTTGCTACTGAGTCTCTGGGATCATGGCCATTGAGCAGCTTGATCAGGAGCCAGAAAAGCCGTTCGTGGGCGATGACTCGGAGTCTCATTGGCGTGGGGGGGACAGGACCGGCTCCACCTCCATCCTGTGAGGCCCAAAATGTCTCATCACTGCAGACCCAAACCTGACTGTCCAGTGGCCTCTGGAGGATGGCGGCCACTGGGCCAACAGGGGGAACAGGCCAAGGCACGAAACCTATTTCCACCTGTGTTGGCACAGCACTGATAACCTACTTCAGGAATTGGACACATTTCTGCCAAACGCCGCTGGGTTTCGAGATTTATTTCTGATTCTCTGGGATCATGGCCATTAAACAGTTCAATCAGGAACCAGAGAGGCCATGCCTCCAATTATCTAGCTGATCCGGAGGTGGTTTGTGGGTGTGTTTCCCACATACCTAACTTTTGGCCATTTACTTTCTTGGTAAACTTTGCCCCAAGTTTTTGGGGTCTGGACAAAGGCACAGCAGCAATTTTGGGGTATCTGGAAGTCTGAAGGCGCCATCAGGCTGCTGATGCACTCGCCTCACAGATACAGATTGACCTGCTGGCGGTACCATATCCCCAACATTAATAAAACTTTTAAAACAATTCTGTGTTAATATATTTTGTAGTTTACATGAAATAGGTCAGGCCTACATATGTAAATTTTCCCCTCACACTTTATATAAACACTGTGGTTTACAAAGTAGTTCATGATGATTTGTCACAGGCATTCAGTATTCCAACACCAATCCCACCACCATTGTACCTTCCCTCCACCATTGTCTCCAATTTTCCAAACCACCCCTAAGCCTGTCACTGTAACAGGCCCTCTATAATTTATTTTATATTGCTTGTTGTGTGTTTTCAAAAAAGATTGCAGCAGTGGCGGCTCTCTCTCTCCCGCCACCCGTGTTTGGTAGTCTCACCCGCTTCCCCTACCCCAGGGATGTCGGTGGCGATGGGCAGGCAAAGGAAGGAAACGAGGGCCGGGCTGGTTGGTCTTAGTTGTAGTTTATTCCAATCCTCTCTCCACCCACTCCCCTCTCTGTTCTCTGCATTCCCCTGCCCATTCTTACAGTCTCATTATATACCCCAGCATGAGGGATTGGGGTAACAATTACACATAGGTGCAGTTACAATCAATAGGGGTAGAATTCTTTCCCTCAGGGAAATCTGCTTCTAGGACAAGTTGTCATTATTAGATCAACCCACCCCAGAGTGGAATCTCCTGGGTATATTTCTCCTCTCCTTGTCCAACAAACATATAAGCATATATAATATAAATCATTTTGTATGGATACAGTAAGAAATACCTTAACCTTATAGAATTGCTGTCCTAGGGGCCATCTCGATCTCAGACTACAGTGTTCAGGCCAGATAGTCTTTCCTACCCCTAGCAGGGTCCTACTCTCGTTGTTACTTTTGGATCATGGCAGCATTTGTCTATGATCAAGCTCTTAACTTATAGTTAAGAATTGTGGCACTTTGGCCTGGCCCATTTCGATGCCAGGGTAGCTCACTGCTTGCCCTGGATCCATTCAGTCCCTCGTCGGCACCCTGCTTTCGGGGTGTTAGGAACTAAGGGCAATTGAGGCTTAAGTCGAGAAAGCAGATGCCTGGGTATGAATAATATTCAAAGCCAATTAAATCCTAAGTTACAAAAGCATAATATTAACAGTCTTCCTGTATCTATACAAAAAGGGCATTGCTTTAAAGTAAACTATTCAAAAGACATAAGGAGAGGAGAAAGGCAATATTAACTTACAATACAATTTCAGTGTCCTAGAAGGATCTGACCTTACAAATGAACAGATACTGATTAGGGGGGAAAAGCTGATTAACTGCTTGGGGAGGAGAGCATAGGGAAGAATTTACAGATAAACACAATGGAATGGAAGTACCTCAGGAGCACTGTAATAAACCTGAGTTCCTCATGGCAAGGGGAAAAGTCTTGTTAAGCCTAAAATATTTGGAGCTATATTCCAACACTTGTTATCAATAATTTGCTAACAGAATGATCAAACAATGTTTTCTTAGAAGAAAATTAGTGAAAGTTGT